AGAGAGAGAGAGAGAGAGATTCAAGGATCCTTGTGAGACAAGGACCCAAGGCAGGAAGCAGGCAGGCTTCAAGATCCCTAGAGAGAGAGTGTGTCATCCACAATGTGCCCAACAAAGCAAAAGCCACGACCCTCACGTGAAGAGAAACCCTCCCCCCAAAACCCCTCTCTCTCTCCTCCCCCACCGATCGACTGGAAGCATGAGGCCCGCCTCGCTGGCTCCCTCGATGAAGTCGACCTTCACACAGGCGTCAATGGATGGGCCCCACCCCCTGGCGACCTCTTCTCTCTCAGGGCCAAGAATTACTTCTCCAAAAAACAGAAATCCCCCTCTGGCGATTGGCTCTTGAAGCCACTCGCGGTCGATTGGCTGAGGTCGAGTGCCCGGCTCGACAATTTGCTAAGCCGTCCGGACAACAGGGTCGCCACTGCTCTTCGTCGTGCCCAGGCCTCTGGGTCTGCGCGTAAGGCTTTCATGTTCGCCGTTAATTTGCAGATCCCAGGTTTGATATTTTTCCTATTTTCCTTTTTGTTTAATTTTAGATGTGTGTTTGCATGTGTGTGTTATAAAGTAGTTTTTTTTATTTTTAATAGTTTACTTATTTGTTTTTTAAGACCAGATGTTAGATGAATAAGGGATTGGGGGATGTCTTTTTTGTTATATGGCAAGATGATACGACTCTCTCTCTCTCTGTAGCATCATTTGTGAAATTTATAGCTTTTTACTCTCTCTATCTCTCTCTCTTTAGCATTATTTGTGAAATTTAGAGCTGTTAATTCTCTCTCTATCTCTCTCTATTTAGCATTATTTGTGAAATTTAGAGCTGTTAATTCTCTCTCTCTCTCTCTGTTGAACGATACTAACTCTGTGAAATTTAGAGCTATGTAGGGTTGATAGCTGTTTTTTATGTGAAATTTGAGCAAAATGGTGTCCTTCTGATTTTAAAATGCCTTGGAGCTAGCAGTTCTTGTCATTTTATGGAAATTTGGATCTGAGTATTGTTTTCTATGTTCCTTTTTTAATCCATCTTGGGAGGGTTTGCTGTTTTTTTTTGTGAAATTTGGAGTTTAGTAGTGTTTCTATGCAATTTTTAGGATCCATTAGGCATAGATTTGCTTCCATTTTTTTCTTGAGTCTGAAAGCTGAGGTAGTGGTTTCATGTTTGTTTTATGGACCCATTGAGGGGAGGAATCCTATGGCGAATTCTGAGCTGATTAATTTTTGTGGTATTTTTTTGATCCATTGAAGGGGTATCCTTGCCATTTTTTATGAATTTCAGGCCAAGCAGTATCTTTTAGTTAATTTGTGGATCCTTTGGAACTTTGGTTCCTGCATTTTTTTTTTAAGCTTCGAGCTAATAGTATTTCATTTGTCATTTTAAGGATCCATTTTGACAAGGGATTCTTATTTCTTACATGTTACTGTTAGAAATAGGGCATCAGGTAGAGAATTTAGTACAGAGGAGTTCTGAGAAGTGTGGGAGGACTCCGGTCAGAACTCACTAGCGTTCTTAACCCGAATCCGGTATCGCAGACTCGGAGGAATCCAAGCAAATAATAATAAAATATTGGGACCTGCTGGACTCGGCTCTTCCCATGGGTTGGGTTCTTGACTTGCCTCCCCACTGAGATCGAGATAATTTGACCAAGTCTGTTTGAGTTTTCCAAGCCTGTCACTGAGGCATTCCCGGGATTGGGTAGAGGACAGTTTGATTGTGTGTTCTAAGGAATAAGGGATGTTCATTCTCCCAATGAGTCTTCAGGTAGTGAATTGAGAAGAAAAGAGTTGATTGAGTATTCACTCAAGGAGTTTGGATTTTACAAATTGGGTTTAGGCAGTAATTAAGTAGAGAATAATTTTATTTTCTCAGGAATATTGATTTTATAAGAAGAATTTGATGAATTTAACATGATAACCCCCTTATTATGGCTTTGATTTGCTAAATGTTTAATGAAGATGCTGCATCTGGATTCATAGTGAGACCAGTGTTTGTAAACTCAGGCACCTCCAGACTGGCCTGAGTTACTTGGACTCGGTAGTGTGTTCGAGTCCATAAGGAACCGGTCAAACTTGCCGATTCCTATATTTTACTGTTATTACTTGTAGAGACTCGGTCGAGTTTCTGACAAACTTGGTCAAGTCCGAACGGATGACCTGGATTCGCACAAGTTGCTAATTTGCAAATGTGGGCAGCCGGTTTTAAACCTTGCTCCAAAAAGAAACGAAAAGGAAAAGAAAAAACAGGGCACCCCTCAAATTGGCCTTTTTTATTGATTGGTGGTTGCTTATCTCAATGAGTTACTTAATCGAACTCTTTTTTACTTAGTGCTCAATTCACTGCCTAATCACATGTGGTGATTTGCTTTGTAGATTGCATATCTTCAAGCTCAGATAGATCTGTCATTATTAACAATATTGTTCATCAGAAAGGAAAATTCTTATTCCTTTATCTTCCTTAGGCTCATAACATTCAAATACTGTTTTCTCTCACATTAACATTTTCAGGCCTAAGAATTGTATCTCATTGTCTGCCATATTAGTCCTTTTACTCTTTTGTGACCATAGTACAACATTAATATATTTCTTACTTTTAATCTCTTGTAATACCAGGGCGCGAGCACCACAGTGCAGTATTCTACTTTGCATCAGATGATCCCTTACATCCTGACTCATTGCTCTATAAATTCGTGCATGGTGACGAAGCGTTCCGGAACTCTCGGTTCAAAATCGTAAACCGCATTGTCAAGGGCCCTTGGATTGTAAAAGCGGCGGTTGGTAACCACTCAGCTTGCCTCTTAGGCAAGGCGTTGTGTTGTCGGTATTTAAAGGGCGATAACTACTTTGAAATTGATGTAGATATCGGGTCCTCGGCTTTAGCTAATGCTATTTTGCATTTGGCTTTAGGGTATGTGACCTCAGTTACTGTTGATATGGGGTTTGTGGTGGAGGCCCAAAGCGAGGAAGAGTTGCCGGAAAAGTTAGTAGGAGCTGTGAGAATAGCCCAAATGGAGATGGGCTCTGCAGTGTGGGTTGAGCCCATGGGCCCAGAGCCTGCGAGCCGGGCACATGGGCCTGTCAAAGGGAGAAGCTTTGGAAGGGTGAAGCACCATGCAAGAGATGAGGAAGTGTGAGGAGAGAGAGAGAGAGAGAGACAGAGAGAGAAGGGTGATTCTTGGTCCCCTTGGTTTCTGTGGGGGTTGGATGGGGCATCTGGCTTCTTGTGTAGATAATAAGAGGGAGAGAAGATAAATTGCTTTTGTAGTTTCTTTGTCTTGTTATTTGGTCAATTAGTTCCCAAATTCATTTGATGGGAGTTTTAGTAAGATCCCATTTCGTTGCTGTTGCAATGGTGGTTTTCTTCCAATGGGTGATTTTTCTTATTCCCTCATATAGAGTACGTATACTTTGATCATTCTCGGGTTTAGAGATATTTTGGCTCTTCTAATAAAACAGAGTGGCCGATCACAAGATATTTGTAGTCGATTCCAATTAATTAAAAAAAAGTTAAAGATATTTGTAGTTGATCCCAATTAATTAAAAAAAAGCTACGATCCCAATTAATTAAAAAAAAGTTAAAGATATTTGTAGTCGATCTTAATTAATTAAAAAAAAGCTACGACGATGTGGGTGGAGAGAGAGAACTCTAAAATCTTCTAGTTGCCAATATTGGAGTTAAATTCCCGGAATTTTAGAGACAGACACTGATGGTCCTTCATTGGGCCCAAATAATCTTCTCTCTCACCTTATGGAGGTGGAGAATTTCATTAGGGTTTTTGAAGAGATCATTCTTGTTGATTCAATTTTGGTTTTCTTTGGGTGATCATCTCTCTCTCTCTTTTAGGGCTTCTAGAGAGCTTTCTTGTCACCTGAATGATGTCTTCCTTTTGGGAGCTATTTTCTCCTAGGGTGATTGAGCACTGCTGAGATCCTACCAGGCCATTTGCGAGCACAATGATCCAAAAATCCGATTTTTGTCTCGAAATTGGATGAGCCTTGAGTCCAGGTCTTTGGATACTTGATAGAAAATTATTATAATTGTTTTTAAATTTCTTTATAAAGTTGATTAGGAGAATTAGGGCTTCTAGAGAGCTTTCTTGTCACCTAAATGATGTCTTCCTTTTGGGAGCTATTTTCTCCTAGGGTGATTGAGCACTGCTGAGATCCTACCAGGGCATTTGCGAGCACAATGATCCAAAAATCCGATTTTTGTCTCGAAATTGGACGAGTCTTGAGTCCAGGTCTTTGGATACTTGATAGAAAATTATTATAATTGTTTTTAAATTTCTTTATGAAGTTGATTAGGAGAATCAGAAACTAATGATGCCGAAGTAGCATTCGAGTCTTATTTTCTTAACACTGCATAAGAGAAGGAAAAGGAATGTTGTTTGGGAAAATTAACAAAATGTGCTTTAAGGATTCATTACTTCAACATTTTGCTTGTTTGTTTTGATTTTATTTTAAAATGTCTATCAAAATATAGATGATCATTACTTGAAATGGTCAGAAATAAGTAAATGTTAATAATTAATAATAGTCATTAAGTCAAATATGTCTTTAACTTAATTTTTTTTCTGAATTTATGTGTTAGGCATGGTGAAAAGACTTTGTAAAGCAGTTGAGGTTTTTGTCTTGGTTTTGTTCATTGTCCTTTCTATCTCTCACTACTGGGTTCATATGCTTTGGTCTATTGTCCGTTCTTTTTCTCTCTCACTACTTGCTTGATAGACGCATTTGTTGAAGCCAGCAATGATTCTCAATTTTGGCTCTATTGGAAACAGGAATTGAAGAGTATAATAATATATAATATTGTATTATTTCTTTATTGAATTTATTATACAACAGTCTAAGGCACATGGAGACATCAGGCTCCTAACGACTCTCACTTTTTAATCGGTTTAAGATTTATAAAATTAGAATGATTATAGACGGCGTCTATCTTTGAGACTCATGTACCCTAAAACAATATCCATAAATAATGAGCAATTCTACGAGTTAAAAGAGTCTACCTGCAGAGTCTTACCTCAAACGTTCTTCGATTTCTCTCTAATCCAATCTCCCAAAAAAATCGAGGCTCTGAAAATTTGCCAAATAAGTTTCCTCACCTTTGGAAAACAATCGAAACTAAACTGTTCACGAATGTCTAGGTAACGTAACGTTAAAGCTATTCCAACTTTTGGAAAGAATTGCCTTCCATGCAAGACAAATGTTAGCTAAAATCTTTCTTCTTCTCATAATTTTTTTTTTTGACAAATGTTATCAAATTTTATTGTCAAACTAAGACATGGTTACATTACTCACTCATTGCATCATTCAAAATAGAAACATAATCCATAGAAACACCTCCTTTAGCAAGTCAATCAGCAACACCGTTTGATTCTCTAAAGACATGATAGAACGATAAAGATAAATCCCCTTCCAAATTAACCACTTGTACCCAGATCGACCACATCAGCCAGTTGACTCTTTGTTCCTTATTACACCACCTAATCACATTTTGGGAATCACCTTCGACCATTATATAGATTCATGGCTTTAATAAAAAGTAATCCTTTGATCAAGGCTTTGAATTCAGCCATGTTAGCCGTGGCAACTCCAATAGGTCCGGCATAAGCAAGAATAATTGATCCAGTCCAATCTTGTACCACACCTCCAATACTAGCACTGCTCAGATTATCGAGGGAGCTACCATCAAGGTTTATCTTTAAACAACCTTGTACAGGGAGTATCCATCTACCAACCTGTATTGTCCTAACACTCTTAGAGAACACCAAATCAACTACATTAAGCCGCACATCTATCTCGCTAAAACCTCTCCCATCATTAGTGACCGACAGCCGCCTCCATATCGTATGAATAATACGCTGAATGAGATATATATTGGAAATGCCAATTCCTTCAAAAGAACGTCCATTATGTTCCTTCATAATTTCGAGCACATAGCTCGTCTTACAATTTGCCAAATCATTGCCCCCAATTTAGGTAGAGCCAGAAATACTAACTGAGAGATGATACCCAAAACACTTTGAGGTAGCGCCACACTGAAGCCTAGCAAAGAAAAAATTCCATAGATTCGTTACATAGCAACAATGAAGAAGCAAGTGCGAAATTGACTCCGCATCCTCTTTACACATCAGGCACACATTTGGAAAAACCTTTATTCTTTTAATGAGATTATCAACGGTAAGAACCTTATTTTGCTTTGCCAACCAAATAAAACACTGAACTTTATGAGGAATGAGCCACTTCCAAATTTGGGAAAAAGACCACCTGTGGCAATCGTGGAACAAGAGGGAATACATGGCTTTTATCGAAAAAAGACCATCCTTACTATGCTCCCAAATCACCTCATCACCAATGTTACTGGACAACACCACCTCCTGCAACTGTGATAACAAGCTCGAAACCTGCGCCACAAAATAGTCATTAACACGATTATAGCGAAAACTGGATATCCCACGCCACCTGCTTTCCAACAACCTGATAGGTTTCACATATCAAAGCATTAAGGAAAGAAGACTTAGCAAATAATCAGGGAAGGAAATCTTCAAAGGGCTATCACTTAGCCACGTATAGGTCCAAAACGGAACTAGAGTGCCTTTCTCCACACTCCACCTGATATCTCTACGTAGATAGGCTTTGAACAGAAAAATATATTTTCAAAAGACAGACCTTGATGCACTTCTCCCTCCTCCAATCCAAACTCCAAACCTATCAATACAGTATTTTGCAATAAGAACCTTACACTAAAGCTGATCTTTGAACAACAAAATACACATCCACCACTTTGTCAACATGGCCTCATTCATCAAAGTCACTCTTCAAATACCAAGACCTCATTCGCATTTAGGGGTACACACTTTATCCCATCTTAACAAATGATATTTCATATTCTCCTCAAAAGACCCCCATAGAAAAGTACGCATCATCTTCTCAATTTTCTTGACTATACTTGCTGGTATTTTTAAAAGAGACATCTGATAAATGGGTAAGTTTGCCAAGCACGGCTTAACCAAAGTCACACGTCCCCCAAGCGATAGATACTTAGGCTTCCATAAATCTAATTTTGTTTGAGCACATTGAATTACTATGTCCCATACAGAAATAGGAAATCTGGAATCGAAAATAAGAAGCCGCAAATAAATAATGGGAAAATTTTCCACTTTGCATCCAAGAGTCATAGCTCGCTCCTCAGCCAGCCCTCCGCTGCAATTAACACCCACTAAAGAAGTTGTTGCAATATTTACTTTTAACCCCACCTCCACCTCGCAACACCTCAGAAATCTGTCAATATATTCAATATACTCTTTCTTAGCCTATGTAAAGATCACATAGTGTCATCTGCATACTATAGATGAAAAATAGTAGGAACGTCTCGCCCTACCTGAAATCCCACAAAATTGCCCCTATTGATCACATTAGATATCATCAAGCTGAAACACTTTGCATAGATGGTGAATAAAAAAGGCGAGATAATGGGTCACCCTGACGGAGCCCTATGGAGGAATTAAAGAAACCTTTAGGACACCCATCAATAAGAACATAGAAATGAGCTGAGGAGATGCACCCATAAATCCAGTTACACCATTTATCACCAAGCCCTATGCACTTTAAAATTTCAAGCAAAATGCTCCATTCCACTCTGTCATATGCCTTTTCCATATCCAGTTTTATAACTACCCTCAGTTCCTTACTTTCAATTCTGGAATGGATGCACTCTTGGGGAATTAAGACATTATCAATTATGAGCCTATTCTAGATAAAAGAAGTTTGGGGTCTTGAAATGACATTATTCAGCACCTTTTTTAGACGCATTGCCTGCACCTTAGTAACAATTTTGTACAAGCTGGTCAATAATGAAATAGGTTTGATATCTGAGAGATCCTTTATAACTATTTTTTTAGGAATGAGCACAATGAAAGTAGATTTAACCCCTATAAATAATTCACCCCTCTCTAAAAAACTTCGCACCATAGCTAATAGTTCCATCGAAAGCATAGACCAAAATCTCTAGAAAAAACACATGGGGAAACCATCAGGTCCTGGAGCCTTATGCCCTGCCAAAGAGAAAACTGCCGCTTTTAGCTCCTCCATAGATACCTCAATTTCTAACTAAGCCGCAACATCATCTGGAAGAGTTTTAAAGGGAATGCGATTCATGCAAGGGGTAGCACAAACTTTGGACATGAATGCCTTACGGAAATGTTCAATAATTGCCAAGTTGCGTCCATCCACATCATCCTGAATTATCTCTTGAATAGTAAGCCCTGAGATATCATTCTGCTTCCTTCGTGCACAGGCTATAGAGTGAAAAAACTTAATGTTCAGATCACCCTCCTTAAGCCATTTGACCCAATACCTTTGTCT